TCTGGACATACGCGTCTGGTTGGGACGAGGGACAGGGCCTTCTCGGTGGTAGCCCCTCGACTCTGGAACTCTCTCCCACTGGAGATCAGAACCGTCCCTTCTATCCTGACATTTAGGAAACAGGTGAAGACGTGGTTATGGAGACAGGCATTCGACAAGTGAGCCAACACCCTGAAATATGGATGGAGGATGATGAGTAATGATTTTAATGTGACGACTGACCATTGTAGTTATTGAATGTAATTGCTGTTTTAATGTTTTACTTTAATGTGAATTATGATGTTTTATTAACTGTATGTGATATTATGGTTGGAAACTGGTCTGAGTCCCTCAAGAGAGGTGAGAAGGTCGGTATACAAAACTTTTAAATAAATAAATAAATAAAATAAATTCTTCTGACCTCCATGAAAGTGGAAGGCCTTCTGTACTGTAAAAAATCATTTTCGTGCAAGTTCATCAGTTCAGGCTTCAGATTGGATAAAGATGATTGGGCCGTGCAAAGGGGATGGTAGAGGAATAATAACTAATAGAAGTTGCTGCTATGAGAGACTGGAAGGGAAGTACTGAAAATGTAGTGTTTTTCTAACTACAGAGCCACCAGGAAGTTTCCATAAGAATGTTAGAAACAGGGAGAACAAATATAATTGAAGAAAAATGGTTCTGCCAGTATTGGCTCGTTCCAGGAAAGAAGTGTTGCAATTGTGCAGGATTAAGTGGCAGAACAGGGCGATAAGATCCTGCTGTTACAGAGTTATTGCTAAACAGTTTGGCATTATTTAAAAACATGAGAAGGAGCTACAATCATGAGGAATTGTATGGTTATAAATACCGGTGGCCTCTGGTGACCCTAAGAAGCAGACTGGAGAGCTTGGGAGATATGGATCAATGCATGAGGGAAGTGGAAATTGTGTTTGCTGGTGTTTTTCATTCTGTTCCTTGAACATTGTTTTTAAAGGTTGTGCTAAATTTACCTGCAGATCATAACTTCGGAATCCAGATGACAAATATCAGACCTATACTTTAAGTTTATTTATATTGAAAGGATCTATAGCTGAGAGGTTTAAGATTATATTGAAAGGCTGTGCATCTTATCAATGTCAAAACATTGCATTTACTAAGGCTGGATGCAAACTGCTTTGTCTGAATTCTTTGAGCCCTTTCAGCTTGCCAAAAGGTAATGTGAATAATCTAGGGGAAATGTTTGAAATAATTTGAGCCTCCAGGATATACATCTCTAAGAGAAGATTATACTTGAGAAGCTTCTGTTGGGCTTCTTTTTGTAAGCCTGCCTATTCATGGGATTGCCGGATTTTTAAATTGGGTCTCCAGGAATCATGCAGTCAACCAGGACTGTTGGGAGGTTTATCTGCTGCTATTCTTGAGAACTTACTTGACACAAGGAGGTTCAAAGAGAGGCCAGGATAATTCAGCAGTTGGTTGGAGGAAACATGGGCCCTTTAGGACATGCTTGATGTATTTGAGCATGAAGGGTGGGAATGAAGCAATTGATATACGGGAAAGGAGGAACAAAAACACTGCAATAAAGATTATAAAGAGGACACCATCACTTGTAAGTCACCAGTTTAAGTTTTATTTGTCGTGTCAAGGCAACCAGTCAATTATATTACATTTCTAACAGAACAAAGCAAACAAACAGACAAAATACAAAATTTGTGAGTTTGGTAGTTGATTAAATGTCCTTTGACCAGTATCTGGCCACTTGGAGTGCTTCAGGTGTTGCTGCAAGAAGGTCCTCCATTGTGCATGTGGCAGGGCTCAGGTTGCATTTCAGCAGGTGGTTTGCAGTTTGCTCTTCTCCACACTCGCATGTCGTGGACTCCACTTTGTAGCTCCATTTCTTAAGGTTGGCTCTGCATCTCGTGGTGTCAGAGCGCAGTCTGTTCAGTGCCTTCCAAGTCGTCCAGTCTTCTGTGTGCCCAGTGGGGAGTCTCTCATTTGGTATCAGCTATTGGTTGAGGTTCTGGGTTTGAGCCTGCCACTTTTGGACTCTCGCTTGCTGGGGTGTTCCAGTGAGTGTCTCTATAGATCTTAGCTTTCTGTTGATAGCCCTGAACATAAAGGTGTATGCGACCCACTAGTTGTTTCTACCATCTGGAAAAGAACAAAGCAGGTGAAGGCAAGGGTTGGAGGAAGGGATTTACACAGTACTGATGATAAAAGGGATTAACTGCTCCCTTTTACTTTGTGATACCCCAGGCAGCACTAGCCTTGTGTCCAAAGAGAATGAGCAAATGGACTCCAGTAATGATTCTTCTCCTGGGTTTACTCCACTTCTATTGGTGACATATGATGTACCAGTGGTCATGTGTTCGGTGAGTTGTGCTAGTGGAGTGCATTGGTTCTGGGAGTGCCACACCAGTAACCGGCATGATATTGTTTTGGTACTAAACATGGCAAGTAATAATGATTTGTGTGTGCATAAGTGTCAGTCCCAATTAACTGCTCGACTCTAAAATAAAACCTGTATGTCACAGTGTGATGTCACTGTTTGTTGTGAACAACCCACTACCGAATCATGTTCTCAAGTGAAGCAATGTCTCATTAACTGCATCGCATCCCAGTCCTAAATGCTTATTGTACTGGAATGATAACTGTCCAATAGTACGGCGTCTTTATATTGATTATGAATGGGGCATTTCTGTGAGTGCTACAAGTATTGACATCGGCTAAGCACCACTCTTGCAAATACATGAGTCCTGATGCTTGATGCTTGGCCTTCCTTGTAGTTGTGTTAAAATCTTTTTATTCATTTTAGTAAATTAGCTTTAGGGCTCTGAAATCTACTAATTAATACTAGAATATCATGCTGTTCTCAGATATAGTAGATCTAGTGCAATTTCACTCCAAAACTAGTGGCTGCTAGGAAAGTGTTGTTATCCACCTTCAAGTCATTTCCAACTTAATAGCAATCCTCTGAATTACTCTGATCTCTATAGCTTTCAGATTGATTTTTAAAACTTAGGATAATAGAGGTATGTGTCAAAATAGGCTTGGCAGCTGAGATTTACCATTTCAAAAAGGGATTGTGGTGATGATTACTGCCATTCCAAGAATGTTGCTATAATATCGGCGGATCCAACTGCTGCAAGATTGGTTAAGAATAATATTACTTGTCCTATAAATGAACGGCTATTGTATTTTTAATGAGCCATTGTTGCTCTCAGCCCCCATTATCTGTGCCTATGTAGATGACAACATGACTATGTTCACATCTGTTTGATTAATCATAAAAGCTTAAAAGGTTTTATTTATTTATATGGATCAGAGGTAAACATTTTTTTTGCTGTATAGTTGGCTGTCAGTATCCATGGATTCAAGTATCTATGAGCTAAAAGTATTTTTAAAAATTCAAAAAGCTAACCTTTATTTTTGCCATTTTATATAAGGAATGCTATTTTACTACACAACAGTATATAATGGAATTAGGAAGTCCATGGATTTTGGTATCCACAGCGGGTTCTGGAACCAAAATTCAGCAGATACCAAGTGCCCTCTATCCAAGTTATATCAAGAAAGCTATACTTTACACGTCTGGTATGGAAGTGGAAACACTGTAATAAAGATGTCTCCAACATAAGGTAGAAATTGGCGGAAAAAATGCCAGGTATTTTTTTCCAGAGTATCTGTACTGAGGGCATGAATTTTAATTTAAAGGGTAATTTGAAGATTATGACTTTAATTACTATTGTGCGTCAAAAGAAAGAGATGGGTAAATATTTATTTATTTTTTATTTAAAGCATTTATATTTTGACCTTCTCACCCCGAAGGGGGACTCAGGACGGAGCACAACATATATATAGCACAATATAGTAATATAGAATACTGATATTGTACTATGCTAATAATAGATATTGTATGTATGTATATCTTGTAAGCTGCTCTGAGTCCCCTTCGGGGTGAGAAGGGCGGCATATAAATGTCATAAATAAATAAATATATGGCAAACATTCAATGCCGGAACATAAAACAAACTGTAAATATACACAAACACTAAAATCAGTTATATCCTTTTTAAAATCAATTGTTTAAAACCTTCTCAAAACAGATATCATGAAATATCACATATGTGAGCTTAGCAGATGAGAAAGTACAGGTACGACTGCCTACTTATATCCATACCTTGCGTTCAGACAAACAAGTATGACAAGGGATAATTAACAAAACAGACAAATGGGAATGAGAAATATTGGATGTATATTTTGAAGGTGCCAGATATTGTCTGATCTTGGAAGCTAAGCAGCAATAGGTCTGGTTAATATTTGGAAGGGAAACCAAACAATAACAAAATACAGATTGAATATCCATTATGCTAAATACTTGGGAGCTGAGATGTTTGGGGTTTTTTTTCTGATTCTGGAATACTTGTATTTGCATATATGTATATAATGAGAAATCCTGGACTTGGGACCCAAATCAACATAAAACACATTTGCTACATATATGCATTATATACATACCCAGAAAGTAATTTTATACAGAAATTTTAATAACTTTGTGCATGAAACCAAGTTTACGAACATCAAAGCATCAGAAAACAAAGATATCATTTTGTTAGCTATCTATGTGGGCAGTTTTGGATTTTGCAGTATTTTTGAATTTTAGTTGAGGGAGGCTCAGCCTGTACCTTCAAGTCGCTAGATCCTCTTATATTACTTAGAATTGAATTTGTTCAAACTTAGGAGTTGAAAAAGTAGGAAGCAACTGAAAATGTTAAAAGTTGATGACATTTGTAAGGAGTCTGTGAAAATAGAAATAAGGTGAAATCCATGGATTCAGTAAAATGGTTTTAAAGTAGTAGGTCATGATTAAATGAGAATGTGAATCAAAGATGAAGCTGGGATGATGAAAGATGGTGAGGTAATTATGTAATAAAGTCTTGGTATTTTGTGAAAGGGCTGCTAAAATTTGTCACTATCACAGAAAGATGTTACCACTGTTTGTTCTTTTATAATTCATCAATGTTGGCTTTTCTTTGCAGCGGCGTCTTCGTCACTTGCGGAACATTGCAGCACGGAACATTGTTAATAGGAATGGCTTTTGCCTCTTGGATACCTACTTCACCCTTCATTTGTGCGATACTGCAAAAATATGTAAAGGTAAACATAGCCCTATTACTATTGTTTCCTGTTCCTTTATTCAATGGCCCTCTCTGCCCATCTTGTTTTTGGCTGAGAAAGTGTTCATTACCCAAGATCACTCTGTGGGTTTCTATAGCTGAGTGGAGATTCAAACCTTAGTCGTAGTCAAGCATTTAAACCACTAGCCCAGTTTTTCCCAAATTCTGGTCTTCTAGGTGTTTTGGACCTCAGCTCCCAGAATCCCTGATCGTTGGCCAAGGCAGCTGAGGCCTCTGGGAGTTCTGGTCCTCCAGAAAATATCTAGAGGACCAGAATTTGGGAATCACAATAAGACCCTTCTGGCTCTCAGAGAATGGGATAGAAATGTCCCAAGTTACTTTTTTGGGGGTTCAACAGCCTGCCTTTAGCCTTAGCTAGTTTGCTTGTGTTTTGAAGGAACATTATTCCAGTCTTGCCATATAACATATCCCATTAGCCCTACTGAACCTGTTTAGCCCCATGGTGTGTCTTCCCTAAGTCTGGGGAAGTTACTTTTTGGGGTTCAACAGCCTACCTTTTGCCTTAGCTAGTTTTTAAGTATACTGTTTTAATCTTTATTTATTAATGTTCATGTTAATTGTTATATTTGTTATTCTGTATTCTGTATTTTATGATGCGGCGTTGAATTATTGCCAATTGTAAGCCACCCTGAGTCCCCCCAGGGGTTGAGAAGGGCGGGGTAGAAATGTTCAAAATAAATAAATTAATAAAATTTTGTGTTTTGAAGGAACATTATTCCAGCATTACCATATAGCATATCCCATTAGTCCTCCTGAACCTGTTTAGCCTGTGGTGTGTCTTCCCTAAGTCTGGAGAAAGGCGCCCAAGTTAAATTTTTTGAGGTTCAACAGCCTGCCTTTAGCCTTATCTAGCCCTTAGCAACTTGCACTTGTCAATCTGCCATTTTTAGGATTACTGAATTCTATAATCTCCAATACAGTTGTGTTGACCCTGAACACACTTATGTCTTTATCCTTCTCAAACACTCAGTGGTGTCACCTTCAGAAGTAATGAGAGAGCATGGGGTGTCTAACATAATTTATCGTATTTATTTACTTTTATATAGCGATTCCAGGCAGCTAGCAAAAAATATGATACAATGCAAATTAAAACATTTAAATGCATTAAAATATAAATATTGAAAACAGTTAAACCCTTTGTGTCATTAAAACCTCAACTGAACATTAAATTGCTAAAATCCATTAAAACTCCACACCTAACTACTGGACGAAATCTTCTGTTTGGTATTGTATTCTGTTAAGTGGATGAAAGTTCATCTCATTGATGCTGTCGACTTCCGTAACTGGCCTTTCCTGCTACTACAAATGCCAGGAATGTGCGCCTTCCCACCCCTTCACCCTCGACCTGTCCCCAGACTGCACAAGCTCTCTTAATATTTTTCTAAGATGCTTATCTCCATAGTAACTAAGCCTTGAACAACAGTAAACAACATAGAATATTTCCTGAGTGCCTGTGTTCCTGGTCGTTCCTAGATATGTGCAGAATCGTGGCCTTTTCACCAAGTTTCAAACTGAGCAATTGAGAGACTAAAGTTTAAAATTATTGGGATGAATAACGCAGGCATTCAAGTTGCTTGTCTGTATGTGTAACAAATAATAATAATAATAATAATAATAATAATAATACTTTATTTATACATCACCTCCATCTCCCCAAGGGGACTCGGGGCGGCTGACATGAGGCCAAGCCCAACAAATTACAACAAAGCAAAATAATACAACATAAAATCACAAGATAATGCATCAAATAAAATGCAATAAAATAAATCAAAATAAGATAATACAAAATAAACACAGAGTATAACATAAATAACAAAACATTGAACCAAGTGGGCAGGGCCAAATACAACGGATAGGATTTTTTAAAGCTTGGTGAGATGGATTAGTAGGGTAATGTATCTAATGGGAAGTTCAGATGGGACAAACAATGGGATTTATTTCACTGAAGAGTGAGATAAAGTGCATCGAAGGACATTATGTACTGAGTGGGTCAAGGTAAGGGATTTGTTGTTCATTCCTCGAAGGCACACCGGAACAGCCAAGTTTTTAGGCTCTTCCTGAAGGCTGCCAGAGTGGGTGCTTGCCTAATTTCACTAAGTAGCGAGTTCCAAAGTCTAGGGGCCACCACAGAGAAGACCCTCTCCCTCATTTCCACAAGTCAGACTTGTGACAGAGGTGGGAGCGAAAGGAGGGCCTTCCCGATGATCGAAGGGGATCGTGCAGGTGCATAGACAGAAATGCCGTCACGAAAGTAGGTGGGTCCCAAACCATTCAGGGCTTTGTAGGTGATAACCTGTACCTTGAATTGGGAAATGAACAGTAGCCAATGGAACTCCTTAAACCCGGGGGGGGGGGGGGGGGGGGGGGGTAGACCGCTCCCTGTAATTTGCTTCAGTTAGAAGTCTGGCAGCTGAATGCTGGACCACTTGAAGTTTCTGGGCCATCTTCCAGGGCAGTCCCACATAGAGTGCATTGCAATAGTCCAATTTAGAGGTAACTAAGGCGTGGACTACTGTGGCCAAATCAGACTTCACGAGGTACGGTCGCAACTGACGCACAAGTTTTAGTTGTGCGAAGGCTTTCCCAGCCACCGCCGACACCTGAGCATCAAGCATCAGTGCTGAATCTAGGAGGAACCCAAAGCTGTGGACCTGTGTCTTAAAGGGGAGTGTGATCCCGTTGAGCACAGGTTGCCACCCTATACCCCAATCTGACATGCGACTGACCTGGAGGACCTGTCTTGTCAGGATTAATCTTCAACTTGTTCGTCTTCATCCAGACCATCACAGCGGCCAGACACTGGTCCTGTATCTGAGGAGCTTCCTTGGATTTAGGTGGAAAGGAGTAATAGAGTTGAGTGTCATCCGCATAGAGATGGCACTGAACTCCAAAACTCTGGATGACTTCACCCAGCGGTTTCATGTAGATGTTGAATAGCATGGGGGGCAGAATGGAACCTTGTGGAACCCCACAGGTCAACGGCCAGAGGTCAAAGCGGGTGTCCCCCAGCTTCTTGAACAATCTTTTGTTTAGCATGGGAATATCTCACCTCAAAAGTGAACCCTTGAAAATCTAGATGAAGGTTTTTGCCAGGCTGAAGTACATAGAATCAGAGAGTTGGAAGACACCATAAGGGTCATCCAAGTACAATCCAAGCTCTCCAAACAGATAGCCATCCAACCGCTGCTTTAAAACCTCCAGAGAAGGAGACTCCATCAGAGTTCCAAACTACAAGAAAGGAGATTCCATCTGAATATGAGGAAGAACTTCCTGACTGTGAGAGCCGTTCAGCAGTGGAACTCTCTGCCCCAGAGTGTGGTGGAGGCTCCTTCTTTGGAGGCTGGATGGCCATCTGTCAGGGGTGTTTTGAATGCAATATTCCTGCTTCTTGGCAGGGGGTTGGACTGGATGGCTCATGAGGTCTCTTCCAACTCTTTGATTCTATGATTCTAGTGACATACTCCACTGTTGGATAGCTCTTACCATCAGGAAGTTCTTCCTAATGTTTAGGCGGAATCTCTTTTCCTGCACTTTGAATCCATGACTCCGTTGTGTTGTAGTCTCGATGAGCAGCAGAAAACAAGCTTGACCCCCTCTTCAGTATGACATCCTTTCAGATAGTTAAACAAGACTATCATGTCTCCTTTCAGCTTTCTCCTCCAAACTAAACATACCCAGCTCTCAGTTTTAGAGTTCAAAATTGTGTGGTGAAACCTCCAATCTTTCTTTAATTTTTCCCCTTTTTCTAGAATTCTATAAAAGTGAAGTGATCAAGAATTCTCTGGTAAGTTGACTTCATTGTTTTATTCTTAATCTTTTCCCTTACCTTACCTAGATAATTTGCTTCAACATTGTTCTCCCTAAATCCTAAGAGATTTTGCTGTTTCCCTTTGACCTCATATGTGGAAGTTGACAAGGAAGAAGGTGGGGATGGACAATAGGGTGTTTTGAGGGAATTTCCTTCCCATTGAACACAGTTCTGCTATACCATTGGCTTAAATCTGCTATAATATTATCAGAGGAATACTGAACTATTTGGAATTCTCTTTCAGCTGTGAAAACAATAGTGAGCAAATTTTTGCTGTCCCCGGCCAGTTGCACTGTTGAAAATTGCCTTGTTTTGCTCTCTTGTGCACAATTCAGAACTAGGTGTCCCCAAAGATAACATTATTTGCACTGGATTCCAGCCATTGTTTTCCTGTGATGAAACCAAATCCGAAATCCTGTTCTAATCTTACTTCTGATTAAAATATGTTAAGGCTGTATATCAGAAGAGGTAGGGGTGGTCTTTCAGATTAGAGATGGGTGAGTTTTATTACTTTTTTTAACCTTTTATAAGAGTGTTTCAAGATTTGTGAAGTTCTTTATATTTTGTACTGAAAGGCTTGGTGCTTTTGAAAAGAGAAAAACGTGGACACACAGGAGAAAATTGAAATGGACAGAGGGATTTCAGCAGAGGGATTTGACTCCCTTTTTATTCATATTAGTGACTTAGGTTGCCAGCATTTTCTCTGATAGGCTCTTCATATGCAGCTCCTAAATGGCAGGCAGGTAGAACATAGTATAGATACTCACGTATAAGCTGACTTTTCAGCCCTTTTTAAGGCTGAAAAAGGCCCTGTCGGCTTATACTCTAGTCAAAATTATTTATTTTACTCTTATTATTTTTATTCCATTATTATTATTATTATTATTATTATTATTATTATTATTATTATTACATTTACATTACTTTACTTATTGTTATTGTTATTATTACATTTATTATTTTACTCTTATTTTTATTGCATTTATTATGTTACTCTACTATTACTGTTATTATTTCATTTCTGTTATTTTACTCTATTATTATTTTACTCTTATTATTGGAAGGATGAGCCCCCGGTGGCGCAGTGGGTTAAAGCACTGAGCTGCTGAGCTTGTTGATCGAAAGGTCACAGGTTCGATTCTGGGGAGTGGCGTGAGCTTCTGCTGTCAGCCCTAGCTTCTGCCAACCTAGCAGTTCGAAAACATGCAAATGTGAGTAGATCAATAGGTACCGCTCTGGCGGGAAGGTAACGGCGCTCCATGCAGTCACGCCGGCCACATGACCTTGGAGGTGTCTATGGACAACGCTGGCTCTTCGGCTTAGAAATGGAGATGAGCACCACACCCCAGAGTCAGACATGACTGGACTTAATGTCAGGGGACTACCTTTACCTTTACCTATTGGAAGGATACATAAGCACATTTAGATTGAAGAAGGTTAGAATAATGGTTTAATCAGAGTTGGACAATCTTATCTTGAATTAAAATTACAATGTTATGTAAATATTCAAAAGCATTTAACCTACTGATGTCCCAATTAATATAATGTTATTGGTATCTATTTTTATTTTGAAATTTACCAGTAGCTGCTGCATTTCCCACTCTCGGCTTATACTCGAGTCAATATGTTTTCCTAATTTTTTTGTGATAAAATTAGGTGCCTCAGCTTATATTTGGGTTGGCTTATATTTGAGTATATATGGTAACTCCCATTATTCTGGGAATGGCTTAGAAGGTTAAATATTGCCAATTCAGAGGGCTTGAGAGATAATTTTATTCAGTTAATTTGGTGGAGAGAGGAGTACCTGGCCCAAATTCATGCATTGTAAAAATTCAATCAAAACAACCTGAGATGTTTTTTTTTTAATGTAGTAAAAAGCAAATTCATAGCTATCTCTAGGTCTTTTTGGACTCCACCTCTAATTAATATTTGCCAACAAGGCTAATGGCCAGATATGGAATTTTATGATTCTGTTATTGGGGTTCTAGTTCAGTCTAGCTCTAGATTCAAGGCAGCATCCACAACCTCATGGCTCCTCAGATCCTTATGGATGGTTTTGTGGCTAGCTGCTTCCATTCAGTGCATAGGAAGATATTGGGTGTGACAGGAGAAGTTAGAATTGCTTATGCTGTAGGGTTGTGGGGTAATCCAGTAGCTAGACTGGTTAGATATACATGATCGCATGTTGTATTGACTACTAGATGTAATTTAAAATTTAAATCATAGAATTATAGAGCTGGAAAAGACCTCGTGGGCCATCCAGTCCAACCCGATTATGACAAGAAGCTGGAAAATCGTATTCAAATCACCCCTGACAGGTGGCCATCCAGCCTCTGCTTAAAAGCCTCCAGAGAAGGAGCCTCCTTCACACTCCGGGGCAGAGAGTTCCACTGCTGAACAACTCTCACAGTTAGGAAGTTCTTCCTTATGTTCAGATGGAATCTCCTTTCTCTTAGTTTGAAGCCATTGCTCCATGTCCTAGTCTCCAGGGGAGCAGAAAACAAACTTGCTCTCTCCTCGCAATGACTTCCTCTCACATCTTGATCCATGACCATCATGTCTCCTGTTAGCCTTCTCTTCTTCAGGCTAAACATGCCCATCCCTTTAAGCCACTCCTCATAGGGCTTGTTCTCCAGACCCTTGATCATTGATCAAATGACTTAAAAATTAACAATAGGATTCCACTACCCATCCATTACCTGGTATAGACTTCCATCTTTTCTTCAAAGCCGAAATTCAAGGCAACTGCAGTTATAGTTGGCCCTACACATTTGTGAGTTTATTGTGGATATGATTAACAGGAAACTTTAGCTCTTCTGGTGCAACTCTGTGGTCATGTTCTGCCAGACGTTATTGATAAGAGTTCTCCTGGGAAACTTTGGGTATTCTAGGAAGAACACCTCTCTAGACATTTCTAGGCTCTCCAGCACAACTCTGGGATCAACATTAGGCAGAAGGTGACCCCACTGGAAGATGCCGAGATTCCAGATCTTCTCTTAGATTTCAAAAATGGGTTTTATTGATAGCTTTCTCACTTTTTGCAAGAGTCCAGGACCTCTGACGTCAGCAAATGTAGAAACCTGATTAGTGCACAGCTAGGTAAAACAATCTTGAACATTTTTTCTGTACCATCCCTCATGTTTTGCATCAACAGAACCCAACATGGAGAAGTCTTGACTTTGGTTTAATACCTGATCGTCTTGATACATCTGTGTCCTGTTTTGTGGTGAAGATATGGGGTGGCAAGAATGACACCTACCAGCTATTGATTGAATGGAAGGTCAATCTAGATGGACTGAAATACGTGGGCCAGCAGGTAAAATAAAAAGAGTGTTGTTAAAACTATGGCTTGACTAAGCAAAATACATTTTGAGCAAATGGCTCTTTTTATATTTGAATTTTTAGATTTATATTAACTGTATTGCATTGTGTTGTTTTTGTTTATTGCTTTTTTGATTTTATTGGTGTGTTGTTGGGCTTGGCCTCATGTAAGCCGCTCCGAGTCCCTTGGGGAGATGGTGGCGGGGTATAAATAAAGATGATGATGATGATTACTATTATTATTAAAAGCATTTAAGCAGAATTCCTTCTAAGGTCTGGATTGTGAGGAGTAAAAATTATGAAGTCTTGTGCAGAATTGTGAAAACATGGATGGAATTAGCTATTGATTTTGACAACTGCTTCTTTACCAGTGAATTAATTTCCTAGTTATTGTGTAACTTTGTAGCATGTTGAATGGCTAACACAATTTATTATGATGCTAGATATTACAAAACGACTTGCTAACTCTTGTGTATTGCGAAATTTTCCTTGGAAGTGTCACTTCATTAGAACCATATTCCTACTCACCCTTTCTGTGCTGTGATGTCGAACTTGATTTTTAGTAAATGCACAACTGCTGTAGTGAATGTAACTTTATGTGAAATAATAAGTAATTATGGGTTGTTGTAGGTTTTTCGGGCTATATAGCCATATTCTAGAAGCATTCTCTCCTGATGTTCACCTTCATCTAGGGCAGGCATCCTCAGAGGTTGAGACCGTCAGGAGAGAATGCTTCTAAAACATGGCCATATAGCCCGAAAAACCTACAACAATCCAGTGATTCCGGCCATAAAAGCCTTCGGCAATAAGTAATTACATTAAAAATAACATGATTGAATCTGTGACCCTGTTTTTCATTGACAGATCCGTGCTCGTAGCCCTAATGAAATAATTTTTGGGCTGAATGATGGTTATTATGGAGCCTCGTATGAACAGAAGGTAAGTATATGCCTGTTTGTATAGAGTGGGATTCTTTGACTTGGGAACTTAGAAAAAAGCCACAAATTGGACGTTGCTGTGTGGATCCTCTGGGAGAGACCACCACAGTCATTATTAAGCCAGTTAAATATATGTTCATGGTGGCTTTGTATCAATAATGTGTGATATTCTCTTTGATGCATGTTTCATAGTACAAAGTAATTTACGGTTGTGAAAAATGCATATCTTTTCACTACTTTGCGGCAATTGCTTTATGAAAGCTAAATATTTATTCTAGTTGAGTTCTAAAGCGTCATAAAATTCATCTTCTGGCCTTTGCTCTCTGAGATATTAATCTTGTCATAGTTGCCAAATTTGGTGGTTAGGAAGATAGAGTCTAGTAATGTAATCACTATAATCATAGATTCCTGAGGAGAGAAATCAATTAATTATTTGGATTGCGTACTTCAACAGTTTGGTAGTTATCTTATTTCAGTCCAAAGAGGAATTTTGAGGACCTCAAAAACTAGTAACAAATTAAGGGAATAGCTGCTTCGTATGTGCATATGTGTCAATATATCTAAAACACGTACAGACAGATGTAATGAGCCTGTCAATCAGATGTATGCAAATCTGTTTGGCATCAGCTTTACATTACTTGAAAATATGATCCCTCCTGGATTAAATTGCTATTCCCATTTCTCTCTCCCTCGTTCACTCCCTGTCTGTGTGTGTCTCTGTTTGTTTTTTTTAAGTTGTGGGTCAAAAAAGAAAGACATACATATTATTATTTAATTGTTATAAATTCATTTGTAAGAGTAATTATAAACACAGCTGATAAAATAATTATATGATGGTGGTGGCAATTATCTTAGTTTATTTTTATTTTTGGCACCCACTTTGTCCATCTTTCGCAAAGAACTAAAAACGTGGATGTTCCACTGTGCTTCTGATTAGATGGCCCACCATGAAATTTTGGCCCCCAGCTATGACCTAAAATCTAGCCCTTGCACTTTTCTGCTGTTCCCCGTCCAGACATATAATGTCCCATCCTATTATGCTCTTTATCCCTAATTTTGTCATCTAGTATTTGCACTTTATCCATTAGCTCTGTCCCCACAATTGATTTCCACCAGCCCACCTGCTACTATTTCAGGCCACTGGTTGTTGCTCAATGGTTGTTTTTATATTGTGCTATGTATCTGTTTGTTTTATATTGTTTAAGATGCTGTTTATGAATTTTAATGTGTTATATTTTAACTATGTTGATCAGGCTTGTCCCCATGTAAGCCACCCCAAATCCCTTCGGGGAGATGGAGGCGGGATACAAAATGAAATAATAATAATAATAATAATAATAATAATAATAATAATAATAATAATTGTGTGTAATTTCTGAGAGATCCTTTGCTTGCATTCCATATGAATGTAGACCTCTGGGTCAGGATCATGCAAAGCTGTAATCAGTGAGTTTTTTTTAGTTATTAAGGCCATTTTTTTTGTCGTGTCAGGAGCGACCTGAGAAACTGCAAGTCGCTTCTGGTGTGAGAGAATTGGCCATCTGCAAGGATGTTGCCCAGGGGACACCTGGATGATTTTTTGATGTTTTATCATCCTTGTGAGAGGCTTCTCTCATGTCCCCGCATGAGGAGCTGGAGCTTATAGAGGGAGCTCATCCGCTTCACCTCAGATTCGAACCTGAGACCTGTCGGTCTTCAGTCCTGCTGGCACAGGGGTTTAACCCGCTGAGCCACCGGGGGCTCAAGTAAGGCCATTATAACTGCAGAGAGGTGTAGAGCCGCTATGGTTCAGTGGGTTGAACCCTAATTCCAGCTGAACTGCTGACCTGAAGTTTGGCGGTTCAAAACTGCGAGACGGGGTGAGCTCCTGTCAGCTACAGCTTCCCATGCAGGGACGTGAGAGTAGCCTCCCACAGGATGGTAAAACATCAGGTTGTCCCCTGGTCAATGTCTTTGCAGACAGCCAATTCTCTCACACCAGAAGTGACTTGCTGTTTCTCAAGTTGCTTCTAACATGATAAAAAGACCCTGCCGAGATGTCTAACTCTCCTCAGTTGTGTTTCAGGTACCTATTTCACAACTAGGGAAATTCTTGGCCATTGTATTTAATGACCAGCTAAGTAGATTAGAAAGGAACATTCTTTCCATGCATTCCTGCACAAGGCAGCAGGAAGCTTATTCTTAAATTTGCAGAGTGTTGTACCCACACATACAGACATACCAGAAGTCCTTTAAAGGGCTCAATTTTCACAGAGATCTATTTATTTAGCATTTTGGGATAAGCATAAGGTCTTGGCCAATCTTAAGACAATGGCTTCAGAGAGCTTTGATAATTCTTTTGGGTTATCACACCTTTTAAAGGCTTTTAGTAGAAAAATGGAACCTGATTTCAATTTTATTCAAAAAGCATTTACTGTGTGACTTTGCTTATCTTCCAAGGGCCACTCAGGAACACAGAAGAATAATCTTCTCCAAGTGGATCAGAATTGTGTTCGCAACTCCTATGATGTCTTTTCCCTGCTTAGGTAATCCTTTTTTTCCCTTCATTCCTGAAATAGAATTTTTGGCACAGACACTGTTATAATAAAACAACTCTTGTCTTCTGCAGTGCGTGCATATAGTTGTCCTTTTGTATCCATGGATTCTATATGCATGGACTCAATTATCCATGGCTTGAAAACACTCCAAAGATTTTCAAAATGCAAAGCTTGATACTGCCTTTTTAGATAAGGCACATCATTTTATTATGCCATTGTACATAATGGGGCTTCTGTGTCCACAGACTTTGGTATCCACAGGGATTGTGGAACTGCGTAAATTCCAGTAGATATTAAGGGTATTACTCCCAAGACATTTTCACATCATGAATGATATTTTGTCTGTAGTACTGTTGTTTAGAAGCTTGGTCCTAAACTTCTACTCCAGTATTTTTGATGTCTGACTTTTAGACTTTTCCTGTGAGCTAGCATAATTTTATTTATTTATTTACTTTGCTTATATACCGCTGTTCTCAGCCCGAGAACAGCGGTTGTAATAATAATAATATTGGTTTGAGTGCTGCACTGCGACTCCGGACTTGAACTCCTCATTTAGTCATGAAAACTCATTGTGTGACCTTGAGCAAGTTGCACACTTCTCAGAATAATACTTAGATGATCCCTCGTAGCCCAAGGATGATGGTCCTCCAAGTATAGTGTCTTGGATACATAGGTGACTATGAAGCCCGATTCTTGGTCCACATGTTCTTCGACAGTGAGGGCATCAGTTTTAAGGTGGAAGGCGGTTCCAGTCAGGGTTGGCTTGATGCGCCTTCCTCTAGGCACGTTTCTGCCTCCATTCGTGGTTCTTCGAATTCAACAGCACTGCTGGTCACAGCTGACCTCCAGTTAGAGTACTCGAAGGCCAGGGCTTCCCAGTTCTTGGTGTCTATGTCACAGTTTTTAAGGTTGGTTTTAAGCCAAGCTTTAAATCTCTTTTCCTGTCCACCAACATTCTGTTTCCCATTATTGAGTTGGGAGTAGAATAACTGCTTTGGGAGACGGGATTGGGTATTCGGACAACATAGCCAGTCCAGTGGAGTTGATGGCATAGGAGCATCACTTCAGTGCTGGTGGTCTTTGCTTCTTCCAGTATGCTGATGTTTGTCTGCCTGTCATCCCAAGAGATTTGCAGGATTTTCTGGAGGCAATGCTGATGGAACCGTTCCAAGAGTTGAGTGTGATGTCTGTAGACAGTCCACGTCTCGCAGGCGTATAGCAGGGTTGAGAGGACAATAGTTTTATAAACAAGCACTTTGCTATGCCTATGGAAGTCCCATGCTCAAACACTGTCTGCTTCATCTGGAAAAATGCTGCACTTGCAGAGATGTTGTATTTCAGTGTCAAAGTTAACTTTTGTGGAGAGCTGGCTGCCAAGGGAGCGGAAATGGTCAACATTTTCTAGCGTTACACCATTAAGCTGTATTTCTGGCATTGGAGAGGGATTGGCTGGTGACTGCTGGAAGAGCACTTTGGTTTTCTCGATGGTTAATGAGAGCTGAACTTCTTGTATGCTTCTGCAAAGGTGCTTAGAGTGGCTTTTAGGTCTTCTACTGAATGGGCACAGACTACCTTATCATAGCATATTGGAGTTCTGTAGCTGATGTTGTTGTGACCTTGGTTTTGGCTTTCAGTTTGCTGAGATTAAATAGCTGGCCATCTGTCTGATAGATGATTTCCATTCCAATGGGAAGCTTCCCCGTCAACAAGATGAAGTATCATAGCAATGAAGATGGAAAATAAGGTTGGGGCAATAACACATCGCTGTTTGACACCTGAATAATTTAGGTGAATCGTAAATGAACTCCTCATTTAGCTATGGAAACTCATTGCTTGACTCTGAGCAAGTTGCACAATTCTCAGAATAATAGAAAGGCTTTGGAATCCTTACGCTGATCAGATATTGAGAAGACAGCTCCATGATAGGTTTGCCTTAATGCTGCCATTATGAAAAAACAGATAACAACAATGCATTAAACCTACTAGGGGGTTAAGTTTATTATAGAGGATACTAACCGCTGAAAATCTTTCTATTACTATTTGTGACCATGTAGTATCACCCTTATTAGTAGAGACAATCAATTACAAATGATCTTGTAACTCTACTGCTAGATGAATGGTAGCTTTATCCCTAGTAGAAGACTGGCTGCATTGTGGCTCTTCACATTGAGTTGAACAGCTCTAGCTGACATAGCCAGTGGTCAAGAACAGCCAGCCTTACATGAATGAAAGATTACCTAATGTTGTTCTTAAAATTGCATTACATTTTAATTTAGTTATAGTTTTAATGGTTAATTTAGGAGCAGAATAATCCATTCTTTGTTGTCCATTCCTTTTCCCCCAAATCTTTTCCAAGTTTTATTTTAACCCCTTAAGCAAAAAAATAAATACGAGGGTTGAATGAAAAGTAATGCCTCCACCTTCGTAACTCCTCAACAGATGGCAGCACTGGTATGCGGCAGGTACTGGCTTGTTCAGTAGACTCTCCTCTACAGTTCCATTTTGGCAGGAAGCCTTAGCATTGAACGATTGTGTTGTTAACGTGCGCAGTATGGAACCCTGTGCAGACGGTCAGTCAATGCGACTTAAGCAACATGCAGTCATTGAATTTTTGAAAGCAGAAGGTGTCACCCCAAAGGAGATTCATCAGAGAATGCAAGCTGTATATGGTGATTGTGTTGATGTGAATACTGTGCGTTGTTGTGATAGTAAGTTTAAAGATGTTGAGGTGGGAACATCTGACTTGCGTGACAAACAGTGTTGGACGTCCTGTGACAGCAACCACCGAGTTTCACAAGCAAAAGGTTGACAGATTGATTCAGGACGATTGTCATATCACTCAGAGAGAAATTTCAAGCATAATCAGCATTTCACAAGAACGTGTGGGTCACATTATTGCTTTGCTTGGCTATCGGAAGATCTGTGCACGATGGGTACCCAGGATGCTGACGCCTGAAATGAAAACACACAGACTTGGAACTTCAGAGACTGGATCTCACCACCGTATGACATCCTCCATACAGTCCATATTTAGCACCGTCTCACTTCCATCTGTTCCCAATAATGAAAGAAGATCTGTGGGGACATCATTATGCTTCTGATGAAAACGTTGAGAGAACTGTGAGACGCTGGTTGCGGAAACAGTGTCGACTTCTCCTGTGACGGCTTCAGAAAACTTGTTCATTGTTGGAAGAAATGTATCTAATTGTCCGGTGATTATGTGGAAGAGCGAATAGTGGGAGTTAAAGAGCACATTCTAAGGATTATTTCTGCATTTAATTTATTAAAATATTCCCATCCAAACCCAAGTAACGAAAGTGGAGGCATTACTTTTCATTCAACTCTTGTAGTAAAGAATAGGTTGATCATCACCAGAGTTAGTGGCTGGAAATTGTACCAATTAGTTGTCCTGCCTGTGTAGAAAGATGTCTGAAATGCAAAACAGCAATTTAGATCATTCCTAAAACTTTGCCATGTATGCAGGAGATTTCTTAACAGGTTAGGAACAAGCTTTACAGGATCAAATCACTAGGCTGTTTAACCACCATCTGCCCCTTGGTAACCATAACAGAAACTTACCAAGATCTTGGTTCTTTCGGAGTCTTGTGCGTTACATTTTGAAATGGACAAGAGGAAGTTAAATACAGGGAAATGTCAACTTCTTCATTTAGATAACAGTGGTAATACCAAAATGTTCAGGTGTGGGATGGGGGAATTTGTGGCTTTGCAGCAATACATACTTAGAGGTCTCTCATGGTTGTTTGAGTATAACATACAACAGTGTGATGCAGCTGCAAGGAAAGGTCTAATGGAGTTTTAACTTGCATTAATGCATTGCAGTTAACAAGTCATGGGATGTCATCATTCCACTCGATTATGCACCCTTCAGTCACACCTCATTTAGGATGTGGCATCCAGTAATGAATGTCTCTTTTTTAAGAGTTTGAAGAAAGAAGTGGAGATGGACAGTGAGGAGAGGTTGAAGGCCCGGGGTCTCTTTGGCTAGGAAAGCAAAGACTAGGGGTGCATCTACACAGATGCTATAAACCAGTTTGAAGCTGGCTTGAGGACACAAAACACATGGATCAAGCAAGAATCAGTGCATTTAAAAAATCCCCAGAAAGTCTGGAAAAAGACAGATAAAGCTCTGCAGCTCATCATGGCGTATCCCATGCAGGGCTCGAAACAGTGATGCAGAGTGCTTGTCAGGATATTGCTAGCTCTGAAGCATTTTAAAAACACTGAAATGCATGTGAAGAGAGTGAAAAGGGGGGGGGGGGGCAAGGGACAGTTCCATCTTGTATCCTTCATATGTCATCAGGTGGGGACCCCTTGCCCCAGCACCAACCACTGCTCTGGGCCAGAGTGGAAAGAGAGGGGGGGGGCAGGGGGCAGTTCCATCTTGTCTCCTGTGCTATGCTAATAATATAATATAATATAATATAACACTAGCTGTCCCCTGTCAGGCGTTGCTGTGGCCCAGTATGTTGATCTGGAAAATAAAGTAATGAGAAAGTGTTGGTTTCTAATATATGTAATTTCGTTATGCTTGTGGGTAAACAGTATTTCTTGCTGTTTCTTTGTCAGTGTTGATGTGGAGAGTGTCTGGTTTGCCCACCCTGGAACATGCAACATATCATTGTCCTTCATTAGGGGTTCCTTTCAAATCTATGATACTATATCTGTGTGTGTGTGAATCATATCATCCATCCATCCATCCATCCATCTATCTATCTCAATGGCTGGATGGCTCTTTGTCAGGAGGATTTTGATTACGTTTTCTTGCCCTGATGAAGGGAGTTGGACTGGATGGCCTTAAGTATTTTCTGTTGGTCATGGGAATTCTGTGTGGGAAGTTTGCCCTGGTTCTGACGTTCGTGGGGTTCAGAATACTCTTTGATTGTAGGTGAACTGTGAATCCCAGTGACTACAACTCCCAACTGTCAAGTCTATTTCCCCCAAACTTCATCTGTGTTCATATTTGGGCG